AGAAATAGTGGATGAGACTATTCAGGGTCCCAAACATAATCTGACTATTCTGCTGAGTGTTGAGTGAATATGCTTTTCGGACTAGTGTTTTGATTCTTACTGCTAATTGTTTGATCGTTTCGTTTGGTAGTCTACGAAATTTATTGCATAAAACTTTTTCATGTTGTTTATTTTTTTCAGAATTAAACATTTTTGAAAATTTTTGTATGAATCTTTTCCAATCTGATTTTATATCTATAGGTTAAAATGAAAACCATTTTTGTGCTGTGCCACCAAATCTGGTCTGTATTAACGCTGTTTGGTGCAGCGGTGTATTTATTGGTTCAGGTCCTTTATTTAAGATTAGATTTGCTGCGACTGCATTTAATTAATCTTCTACAAAACATTCAGGTTCTGTGCCGGTAAATACCATTATAGGTTTGTTTGAAGTTTTTGACGATCCACCCATTATTTGTGGATTTAAAGTCATTTGAAGTGATTTTGCCGCATTTGGCATTTATGAAAAATTTGTAAGTTGACTCTTTGTTATTTCATGTTGTAGTAAGTAATATGGTAGCGGGATTTCATTTGGCATTTTTGTTGCTTAATAAGGATGTGTACTAGCTGGGTTTTGTGAATGAAAATTATTATTTTGAGATGCTAAAATTGGACTAGGTTGTCGCATATGTTGTTGTGTTGTATATGGTTCCAAAACATCTGGATGTTTTACGTGGTAAGAGTGTAGTCTTTGATTTTGATTAAATTGTCGATGACTTTGGTTATAATAATCTTCATCATCTGATGAAAAATAATTAGATGTATATTAAGTTGTTTGATGTCTTTCTCTGTTTTGTTGTATATTGTTTTTGTTTTGTTTAGAAAATGGATGGTTTTCATTTTGATCTTGTGAAATTTGTTGGTATTCATTAAAATTTACTGAGTTTGATGATGCTTGTTGGAAATTTTGTCTTTGTGAAAATAAGTGATTTTGCGTGCTTGTACGAGAGGGTTTAGTTGTTTGTGATCTATTTACATAGTTATAATTATGTTCTGCAAAATTATTTCTAGTGAATTTTCTTTGTTTTTTGTTGGTTTTGTCATGGGTCTAAATGTTTGATAATCCATTTGTGTATATTTTTGAACAACGGAGGTTTTAACCGTAGATTGTAATGTTACCTGTGGTAATGTTGGATTTTTGGGTCTTGGAGTTGAAAGATTTGTATGTATTGGTGAAGTAATTTGTTGTGCTGTTGTTGCGATTGTTTCAACTATTTCTTCACCTACGAAATGAGATGGTGTTTGAATATCTTGTTGAGTAAGATTTCGAGTTCTATTTATGTTTTCTTGTTGTATGAGGGTTGAGTTTAAACTATTTTTTCTTGGGTAGAATTGAATTGAAGTTTAAAAGTGTTGCGTCAATTGTGAGTGGATATACTTTAAAGTAATCTTTGTGAATAGAAATTGTGCTAATTGCCTGACGTGAAATGTCTGTTGCTATGATCAGAAATAGTTGATGAGACTATTCAGGGTCCCAAACATAATCTGACTATTCTGCTAAGACAGTTTCATCAGTTGTATTTTGAGGTCTAAATTTCTTTCTTGCTTGTGAGATTAAATCAATTATATGTGAGAAATAATCAATAATAAACCAAGCTAAGATTTTTTGTAAATCGTGTTTAACCTTTTGCGAAACTTCGTTGCTTGCTACTTTTTCAAGGATTGTTTTTAAAATTTCGGAGAAAATTGCACTTTTATTTCTTACAGTTGAACTGGTGAAGTTCCTTGAGATTCGGTTTTTTCTAGTATAGATAGATAACTATAGATTATTGAAAATACATCTTTAGTGAATATTGAATTCGTTCTTTGTGAGTTTTGATATTGTATGTTTTTATGTATTCAGTGAATACTTTTGAAAAATCTATGTATACGTCGTCTGTTTGAAGTAGATATCTACCATGAAACGTATTTGGTGAATTGATTTCTCTAGAATAGATTCCGTACTGTTGTGTTATATTACATATTCCTTTTAAATAGTGATCAATAAGTTGTCTTTTGATTTTTATTTCTGGAAATTCTCTTGTACATGGACTCTCTCCTCTTTCGAATAAATTTGTTATTAAATTTTGACAAAATTGTGTTTGTCCTCTGTCATCAATGAGTGAATTAAAAAAATTGGGAGGATGGAGTTTTAATGGTTGATTCCAATTGTATAGACGTACTGGTTTGTTTTTGTATGTTTTTTTTATTCTTCGTTTTCTTTGTATTGATGATTGTGATGTGGTTTCTGAGTCAGAAAAATGTATTATATCATTAACTTGATAATTTTTAAAGTGTAGTGATAAGTTCTTCTAAACGATTGGTTTCTGATTCGGAGACTGCGTTTCTTCGCTTCGAAAATCTTTTTCGTGTAATTTGTATTTGTTTGCTTAAAATTTTCCTTGTGATTGTCTGTCGTTTTGTTCTAGTATGTCCTATTGTTCGTTTGTGTGGAAAGATTACGAGGTCAATTTTTTTGGTGTTTATTTCACAATTGTGTAATATGATTGTTTGTTTATTTCCTAAATTGTCTTGTACATCAGGTTTAGGATGTGGGAAGAAATATTTGGATTAGTGATTTGCTAATGTCTTAAACTGTTAGTTCTTACGATTTTTTGTGGTTAGCCTAAATTGGGTAATGTATTTCAGGGTTGGAGAGAAGAGTATATATCGATTCCTGAGAACGATTTTTACTTTCTCGTGGCTAGTCTAAGTTAAGGTGTTAGTTAACTTACTTAATCTCTTCTAGGGGTAGTGATTTGTGATCAAGGGTTGGAGAATAGTAAATCGATCCACAAAGTTCAGGTATAATTAGAACACAAGTAGTTCGTTAGATACTATTTTAAACTTACTATGTTTAAGTATTATCATGGGCCAGGTAGGGGGGAGGTCAAGTGAAGGATGAATAACCGAAGTTCTTCACTGTTTATCCTAATTAGAATGGTTATTTTGATTGAAACAGTTCTATCAATCCTGGGTCTTGAGGAAGGGTTGGGTATTGAATCGACGTTTGAGGTCGTCAGACACTTAATTTATTGTGAGGGGGAGAGCAAACTTGTTCTATTTGATCCAAGGATAATTATTGATAATCAGAATATAAAATTAATGAAATTAAATTTAATTTAGATGCAAGTGAATTAAAGATCCAAGGAAACCCTTGATGATCTGTTAAATTTACATATGTTTAATTCAAATAAAAATAGGAATTAGGATAGGCCTTGATAAATTAATTTAAGGTTTATTTGATAGAAAATTTTGGTTTTATGATTTTTTTTGATGATAATGTTAGTAGATTTATGATTCGCAGTTATGTTTTAGGTGATGAATCTGGGATGAAGAGATGATTTAAAGATACCACCAGTTTGTATTCATACTAACTAATTTGTATAATTTTATATTCAATAAATATTTTTTCCTGATATTTTTTAATTGTACTGCAGATTTTTGAAGAGAACGGCTAGAGATGTTTTATCAGTCATTATTGTATAATAATAAGTTTAGTGCCTGTAATTGTCGTTGAAGACTTTTGTTCGAAGATACTATATTTTTAAATGAAAATATAAATTCAATGCTAATAAAGTTCTGAATATAAAAGTTTTTGTTGGCTTTTGCCGTACGACCGTGAAATTTAATGGTAAGTTCCTATGTAGTCGTATATCGTCTGTTGTCCGAGGTCTTTTTCTAATACCGGGTAGTTCTCATATTGTTCGGATTAATGGCTCTGATCTACTGAGTTGTAGAGACATTTCAAATAAATTGTTGTCATATAACATTTTTGGAAATGTTTTTTGTCTAATTTTAATCTATTTGGTTAGTTTTAAGCGAAGTTGTTTTTTAAGGTCTTGTTGGAGACTTTTGGTCGCACCAGATGAGTTATGTTCTAAGATCTAACTCATAGAGTAATTTCAGTTAGGGTACACCGTCTGCTCGTCACGCTACCATATTTTCGGCCGGATAGATTCGTGCAACTTCTTAGTCTAATACCGATCTTAATCTTACTCTTATATCTCTTAGTCTCAATAGGTCTAGAGTAAACTGGTTTTGCGAAGAGTCGGTCTCTTGGAGAAAGCAACTAGGTTGTAATTTAAATTCTAATCTCTCTGGTTCTGAAATTACAAGTAATTCGAGCACTTACAAATAAGTCTGTTGTTAATTTGATGGAGTGTGATTGGTTAGTCTTTAATATTTTATAGGGATAAAAAATCTAAATTATAACAAATAATAAAGTATAGTTTGGATCTGGTTCCACTCCTTCCCTCCAGGGTTTCGGACCTGTCGACAAAAAGGGTTACTCTTTGTACTATTTTGAGATATCCATTTTGGTGACTGGTCCCAAAAATTTTTTGAAGGCGCCTTGGGCGCCTATATATACTAATTTTGAGGGGGGAGCGCGCGCCAAAAAAAATGCAATCTTTTGGTCAAAATTTTCAAAAAATGCTGAACGTTTTTTGTCTTGATTTTAAAAACATTTTTCCTGCGGCGCAGAAAATTTGGCCAAAACAGGTTTTTTTTTAGTGCTTTGGCAGAGCTCGGAAATCAATTTAGTCGACATATAAAAAACATCCGCCGCTTCAAGAAAATCCTTGATTCGCTCTGATTAATTGTACAAAAATAAAACAAGATTGATCGTATCATGGCGAAACCCTGAATGTTCTGACTGCCCTTTAAAGTCACAGAAAATATTTTTGATTTTAAAAAATTACTTGAAAATAAAAAAAAAATCACATAAAAAAATTATTTGCTTCTTTTTATCATAACCCACACGCTATGTAAAAACAAAATATTAATTTTTATAACTGGTAACGTAATAATAGGATTAAACTGCTTGGCAAAGTTGATCTACTCTCTGAAACAATCATTGTTCTCGTTGAAATCCGAATCGATATGCTTCTCAAACTAATGGCAAAAAAAGTTTAGATTAATCTATCGGCTTTTAATTATAGACATATGATTACCCGGTCTAAGTAGTCCCAGCTAGTACCACTTCTAGAAGTTACTAGTTGTCTTCCGGATTGGCTCAGTGTCAGTTCAATGTAGCTGTAGTCAAAGCTATTGTGATAGCCTCCAAAGAGACACAGAAATGTGGGTCCTTTTTTGACCACCAACGGAGCATTCGATCCAGTCAGGGGGGAGTCCACCGCTTGAGCAAAAACATGCGAGTATGAACAGAACTAGAACTAGCAAAGTTATTTCGGAAATTCTACCTCTAAACAAGAGTTTACTGGATATTTCGATCCAGAGGTAAAAGATTGATCAGAAAAAGAAATGGTGAAACCTCAAAGAACTATATCTTCCAATTACCGATGCTTAATAACAGTAGTTGTGCCTGCAATATTTCTTATACACAGTAACGCACCAAAATGAGCAGCCAAAACTCAGTCAATTTTTTCATTGTTCTAATTTTCATTGCTTCAAATTCTGAAAGCCAAAATGCATCGCTACACAAGAAAAATGTTTAAATTTGATTTCAATTTTAATTGAAAAACTGATTGATTGCTAATTCTTCCTTTTTGTACCCAGTTATGCCTGAAAGATACCCATGATGTTTATCACTTTTTCAGTTATTTATCAGAGCTTGTGAATTTCTTTATCCAACCTACATGACTTAAAAGAATATGAATCAATTGCAAAAATAGAAAAAACTGATGATAATTCTATTTAGAACGACGAAGAGTTAAAACGTTATTAAAGGAAATGTTGCTGCGGCTTTAAAAGACAAACAAGACTGCTCGTATCAGGGCGAAGCCCTGAATGTTCCGACTGCTTTTTAAGGTTTATGGAGCAGTAATAACTAAAAACATTTAATAGAACAAAATAATGGAACCTGATCTAAACTATATTTTATGATTGGATAAATTAAATGTTTTACCAATGTAAAGTATTTAATATTAACCAATCACGATCCATCTAACTAACAACCCACTTATTTGTAAGTGCTGAAGTTACTTGTAATTTCAGCACCAGAGAGATTTGAATTTAACTTAGAAATTAGTTGGACTCTCCCGAGCACTTCAGCAGCCGCAATAAACCAGTATACCCTAGATCTATTGAGCCTAGCAGAGACTAGTTAAACAACCTGAGACTAGATAGTATAAGAGTAAGATTAGGATCGGTATTAGACTAAGAAGTTGCACGAATCTATCCGGCCGAAAATAAGATAGCGTGACGAGCAGACGGTGTACCCTATCCGAAATTACTCTATGAGTTATACCCATCGGTCCTAACTCATCTGGTGCGACCATAAGTCTCGAACAAGACCTTAATAGCTTAGAATTAACCAAAATAGATTAGAAATTAGACAAAAACATTTACAAAATGTTATACGACAATAATTTAATCGAAATGTCTCTACGACTCAATAGATCAGAGCCAATATTCCGAACCATAACAGAACTACCCGGAATTGGAAGAAGACCTCGAACCAGAGACGACATACGACAAAGTAGAAACTTGCCATATAGTTATATGATAGTTAGGCAAAAACCAGAACAAACTTTTATATTTAGAATACTACTGGCAATGAATTTAGATTTTCATTTGCAAACCTAAAATTTTGAAGTCAATCCTCAAAATCATTTCAGGCGCTAAACAAAATTATTAATATACAATAACGATTGATAAAAAGATCTAAGATCGTTTTCCTAAAATTCTGCAGTAATATACAAAACATGTTTGAAAAATATTTATTGAAAAATAAAAAATAAAAATTAGTAGCATGACAATAAATGGTTAGTAATCATAAATCATCCTGTTGTTCCAGCTCCATCATCTAAAACATAACAGCAATCATAAACCCACTAATATCATCAAAACACTAAATCTTTCCTTTACACACATTTAAAATTTTATCAAAACTTAAATTCACTTAATTTTAAAACCAGATCATCAAGGCTTATCCTTGGATCTTAAATCATTTTCTACTTAATTAAATTTTAAATTTGATCATCAAGGCTTATCCTTGGATCAAACAGAACAACTTTGTTCTCCCCCACCCACTTAATTAGTGTCTAACGACCTCAAACGTCGATTCACTACCCAACCCTTTCTAAAGACCTAAGACTAATAGAAATTTTTAAACAAAACTAATCATTCAAATTAGGATAAATAGTGAAGAACTTCGGTTATTCATCCTTCACTTGACCCCCCCTCTTAACAGACCCAGGATAAATCTTAGACTTAGTAAGTTTAAAATAGTATCTAACGAACTACTCGCGTTCTAATTATACCTGAACCTTGTGGATCGATTTACTATTCTCCAACCCTTGAACACAATCACTACCCCTAAGTAAGATTAAGTAAGTTAACACCTTAACTTATACTAGCCACGAGAAAGTAAAAAATCATTCTTCGGAATCGATATACTTTTCTCTCCAACCCTGAACAAATAGACCCAGGTTAAGCTAACCAAAAAATCGTAAGAACTAACAGTTTAGGAAAATAGAAATCATTTAACAACCTTTTGCATCCGTCATCCTAAACCTTATGTCATTTAAAAACCTAGGAAATAAACAAACAATCGTTTTACACAATTGTGAAATAGATAACAAAAAATACGACCTTGTAATCACACCTCATACACAAACAGTTGGATACATTCGAACAAAACGACAAACACTAAAAAGAAAAATAATAACGAAACAAAGACAAATAACACGAAAAAGATTTTCAAAAAATCGAAACGCATTTTCAGAATCAGAAACCAACAGTTTAGACGAACTTTACAAACTAAAAGAATCAATAGATAAAAATTGCCCACTTCACGATCAATTATATTTTTCTGACTCAGAAACAACTTCAAATTCATCAAAAAGAGGAAAAAGAAGAATAAAAAAGCAGTATAAACACAAACCAGTACATTTATACAATTGGAATCAACCAATTAGACACATTGATAATTACATATTAACAGTCATCGAACGAAAAAATGAGCTCAACGCACACTCCAGGTGAAGAAAGTCCAGATGATGATGAAATCTTTCCTTTTATAGTAGACGCAGATACTGATAGAGGACAACACATATTTTGTCAAAATTTACTCGTAAATTTATTTGAACCCGGAATCAGTCCATGTAAAACAGAGTTCCCCGATGTAAAAATCAAAAGACAAATCATAGACCACTACTTAAAAGATATATGCAACATAACACAACAGTATGGAATCTACTCCATAGAATTCACCTCACCAAACCATAATAATAGAAAATATACAATTCAAACAGACGATCTTGATTTAGAATTTTCAAAAGTTTTTTCAGAATATATAAAAAGCATCCAATATCATAACTCACAAAGAGCAAACTCCATATTCACTAATGAAGTTTTCGCAATAATATATAGTTATATTTCGATATTAGAAAACGAAATCCCAATAACAAATGTCTCACCGACAGAAACATCCAAACATTTGAAAGTACGACATGAAATCACACTACTCTCTAGTTATTTAAACATCATTAAAGAAAATTTCACGAAAGACGACGTTTCACAACATACAAAACACGATCTACAAAAAATTTTGGCATGGTTCATAATAGATTATTTCACACACAATATTGATTTAATTGCACAAGCAAGAAAAAATTTTAGACCCCAAAACTCGAACGATGATACCGCTATCACAGAACAATCAGATTATGTTTGGGACCCCGAATGGTCTCATCCCGCATTTATAAGCTTCCCACAATCAATCTCAAGTCAAGCAATAGGTACGATATCTTACATAAGAGATTATGTAAAAGTAATACCATTAACTATTGATGCAACACCATTAAACTATAATACATTTTTACCCGATACACAAAATAATAGTTTAAACTCTACAGTTATACACAATGAAAACCTCAATGGAACTAGGAATCTTACTCAACAAGATATCCAGACACCATCACACTTCATAAATGAAGAAATTGTACACACAACAACTACACAACAAAGTATTTCACCAATACGCCCAAATTTAACAACACCAAGAAATACAAATCCTTCACAAACACAGGTAACCTTACAATCAACCGTTAAACCTTCGGTTGCCCCTAAATATTCACATATGGATTACCAAACATACAGACCCATGACAATACCATCAAAAACACGCAAAACATTCACTAGAAACAACTTTACAGACCATAATTATAATTATACACATCCATCAAAAACATATAATCAACCACAAAGAAATTTTAACCAATATACAAGATCTCGAAATTGGAATAACCCAATGACCCAACCTAATTCAATAAATTTCCGAACAAATCCTCCACAGGATCACAGTGAAAATTACCCATTTTTTCAACAAAATAAAAATAAAAAACAGACATCTTATCAAATGGATTATTTATCCTCAGATGATGATTTCTTACAATCAGATATATTTGCACCAAATACTCAAGAATATCGTAGACAAGGAATACAGAGAACACGTACAAATCATAGAAATTTTTCTCCACAACCAATAGATGCACAACATCAACAACCAATTCAACAACAAAATCTAATTAATACACAATCTTTTCGACCAATTCAACAACAAAATCCAATGACTGCACACTCGTATCAAGCATCACAAATGCAAAATGAAATACCACTCCCATATTATCTTCAACAACATGAAATAACAAGAAACCAACTTTCAAATTTTTCTCAAATGCCAAATGCAGCAGAATCATTACAAATGACAATGAATCCATACCTAATGGGTGGATCATCAATAACATCAAATAAACCTTTAATGGTTTTCACAGGAACAGACCCTGAATACTCTGTAGAAGATTATTTAAATGCAGTAACAGCAAACCTGATTTTAAATATTGGACCTGAACCAATTAATACGCCACTACATCAAAATTGGATACATCGACGCACAGCGTTAATACAAACAACCTTAGATGGCGCAGCCCAAAAATGGTTTTCAGTACTACCTCTAGAAATAAAATCAAACTGGAAAAGGTTTACACAGGAATTTTCAAAAATGTTTGACTCCGAAAGAAACAAACAACAACAAAGAGTTTTATGTAATGAAATTCGCAGATTACCAAACGAAACCATCAAGCAATTAGCAGTACGAATCGAAACACTAGTTCGAAAAGCATATTCATTAAATACACATGACTATAAAAACACAAAGATGACAGAAATCTTAAT